TTTCTGAAGAAGGGTCTAGGCCCGAAACATCAGCTTTCCTGCTCCTCTGATGCTGCTTGGCCTGCTGTGTTCATCCAGCTCTACACCTTGTTAACTATTTATGTTGTTTCTTTGAGGTAATTAATCATCCCACCGCAAATATTCCTTTTGTGTCTGGGCTATTGGGTTATTTGGTCAGATATCCAAACATCTGGTCACAAACCGAGGTTTTAAGGAATGTTTTAAAGGTAGAAAGTGAGATGGAGAGATTGAGAGGTACAGGGAGAATATTCCAGAGACTGGGGACCAGGAAGCGGGTGTCAACGTCACAGCGAATAAAACCGGGAATGACCAAGAGGCTGGAATTAGAGGAGTGTGAAGGAAAAGAGTTGTTGCTTTAAGGGAAGATATTTCAACTGACAGAAAATAGACAACATCCGCAATCTTTGTGGAAAATAATGTAGAGCTGTAACAATTTAAAAAAGGACCCTGAAGATCCCCCTCACATTGACACTGTATAACCTCATATTTTTAAGACTAAATATTGAATCAAAAGTGTATGGGTTCAACTTTGACACACAAGTAGAGAATTTGATGAAGATTGAATGCCCTGCTTTCATATAAGTTGCTGATTGGAGACTACTCACCATCGTTTAGAGAGCACAAGAGCAGGGACACTATGATAAACCCATATAAAACACTAGCTCAATCTCAGCTGAATTCTGGGCTCAATGCTTCAGGAAGGATGTGAACACATTAAATAAAAATGTTTGCAAGAATGGTACCAGGGATGAGAAACCTCCGTTACAAAGATACATCAGAGACGTTGAGAATGCTTTCCTTGGAGAGGAGAAGGCTAAGAGGAGATTTGGTAGGAGTTTCAAAAGTTGAAGATTTCAAAATCACAGGGAGAAATTGTTTGCAGTCGTAAAGGGTTCAAGAACAAGTGAATTATAGACATAAAGTAATTTATAAAAAGAAGCAAATGTGACATGAGAATATATTTATTCACAAGTAGTTTGTGTCTGGAATCCGCTCACTGGAAATATCATTGGTGACAGGTTCGCCTGAGACATTCAGGAGGGCATTAGATGATTCTTTGAATTGAATCAATGTGCACGGTTATAGGTGAAAAGTGGCACTAAGTTGCAGAGAGCCTGTTTCAGGCACGATGGGCTGAATAGCCTACTTCTGCACTGTAATAGATCTATGATGCTGTAATTCACTGGGCTGGCACTCTATTTTATCAGCTAGATTTGCACGCAAGCACATTTGCCTTCAGTGGTGATCAGATTTAAGTACAACGGGTTTGGATTTTTTTTTTTGACTAAATGTTGGGAGTCAGCCTTAACGAGGTACGTGAGAAACAAATGTGTTTTTTGGCAAACCTTGGAGGTGGTTGACTTTTACAAGAGGTAACCGTTTCTTGAGCCTATGTGATTCTGTACCCATAAAAAAGTTATCCACAACTTTAAAATGTTAAAGCAAAACAAATTGCATTTTACCTGCTGAGTTGGTAGCTTGCCAGCCTGTTGGTTTGGTAGGTTCAGCAACTCCACGAGGCTTGAAGGTTGGGCTGGATACAGCAGCAGTGGGTGGGGTGTGACAGACCCCACCAGGCATCTTAGACATGGGCTTGACAGATGCAGTAGCGGGGCCAATGGGCTGAGGAACATCCACAGCATCGCCACTGTGAAAAAAAAGTGACAGAAATGGGCTTTTAAAAAAAAAACTAAAGAACTGCCGATGCTAGAAATCAAAAACAAACACCTGAAATTGCTGGAAACTCTCAGGAGGTCTGGCAGCATTCGTGGAGAGAAATTAGAGTTAACGTTCCTCTGCTTTTTCTCCACAAATGCTGCCGGACCTGCTGAGCTTTTCCAGAAGCTCTGGTTTTTGTTCGTAAACAGAAATTGGTCTGCAGGTCCTGACGGAATAGTTTCCATAAAACTTACAACTCAAGGAGCAGTCACTTTATATCTGATCTGAAAAGCAAATACCATTATTCAAGGTGGAAAAGTAATTTGCAACAATGCTGCGATGGTTTTGTGGTTGGATAATGTCAGGAAACGACAGGTAAATCTTTATTAACGTGTGACCTAAGCCTTGAATTAGAAGCAAGAGTTTTGCATAAATTGTGTCATTTCAGGAAGACAGGGAAGGATGTAGGTTATGTTATCCACACAAAGAAACACATCTTTCGGTACAGAAAAAAAAACTTTTAGATTATTCATCTACACCTTACATTCTCTAGTCAGAACAGATCCATTTCCAGCCCACATCACTAGAATCAGGTGCACAATTCAGAAGGAAACTTCTGTCAACTTGCTCTTTCAAAACCTTTCAGAATTCTGAAAAGCCCCATTGGGTCTCTATTAACCTCTAATGCTACCCCAGTCTGTCCTTATATAGGCCGGGTAAACCTTCACTGTACCATGCACACAGCCTTGACATTCTTCTTAAAGTGTGTTTTTTTAAAAAAGTGAGTTCACGAGACGTGAACATTGCTGGCACTTATTGCTCAGCCCTAACTACCCTTGAGAAGGTGCTGCTTTCTTGAATTGCAGCAGTCCATGGGGTGTGGGTACACCCACAGTGCTGCGGTACCCAGAGTTAAATACAACATTACAGCCATCAGACTTCATGCTGAAGCCCAACTAGAGATCTGCAAAGATCAAGCACGACTTGATTGTTTTTCAATATTAGGGGTCTTATTTATAAAGCTAAAGATCCCATGTGTTTCCTTAGCCTCTGACATATTAGTTACAATATACACGAAAACATGCCATTCATGCAAACAGGATCCTGCATCCTCCCCGCTTCATCCACCAAGTCACTGTATCCTGTTTTTTGATCCCACATGTACTTACCTAGCTTCTCCTTAAAATGTATCTGTGACATTCACCTCAACTCCTCCATGCGATAGGGAATTCCATTTTCACCACTCTCTAGGCTAAGAAACTTCATGAGTTCTTTGCATTTATCTGTGACTATCTTGTTCTAGAAACACAGAGTCAAAAATGTACCCTTTGCACACGCACAGTTCGTGTGTCATAGCTCCCAATTGCTACCTCAACTGGAATAGCACTTGCAGTTGAGTTGTGAAGCCATGGCTCAATTGATGACAATCTTGCCTCTGAGTTTGAAAGATGAGAGTTCAAGTCCCACCAAGGATTTAAGAGCAAAAGTCAAAAGATCATCAGTAACACTGAGGGTGTGCTGCAGTGCCAGAGGTGCTGTCCTTTGGACCAAACCAAGGGCCCGCCGTTTTGACAGCGATGGGAAGACTGCACAGGTAATGGAGGTTCACTCTCCACTAGTCACAACATTGAATCAATAATTTACACCAGTCATCAAAACGGACAATTGCTTCTTTTTTAGTTCATTATCCAGAATGAAAGAAGCTTTCCTAGGCCTCTCTGATTAATTCAAAAAAATAACCCATTTATTATAAAACAAAACTTATTCTCAAAACAAATGGCAAACACCAGTTAACAACTAAGCTATAATTCCAGAATTAGATCTATATTCCTTTCTAATCGCAAACATAGACACACTCACACAACACTAAAGACAATAGTCTCTGCAGATATGTTAAAAGAAAGAAGAACATTGGAAAACAAGGGGCTGAAACAAAGAACGGAACTTGATGAATTCCCACAGTCTACTGGGTATCTAATCAATGAAATCAAATTACTTAGATTCATGGAAAAGCTTCAGCTCAGATGGAGGCAAATGGGATCTGAATCTTCAGAAAATGGTCATAGTTCTGCTCTTCAGGTTTATAAAGTCGAACATACTGGTGTTTTGAACAGTCATCAGGTTCCTGAGGCATTTACAAAGAGTGAGAGAGACTTGCAATTCTGAGAGTTACTTCTTTATTACTTATTTTTATTAAAATCTAGAAAACCAAGTCCAGAAAGGGTTGTTAGGCAACCACTAGTACAGTGGCACCCATTATCTTTCAAAGCCAAGACTTTCCAGCAATGAAGGGCCATAAACCCCACTCCAATCTCTCTAAAAGCTTTTCTTGTGTTTTCTCCAAAGTTATCTTGACTTCCAGGTAAATGACAGCACACATTTATACCGTTGGCTTCAAATTTTCCAAGTAATCACATGGTTAAAAACTCTTAATTTCGAAAATGCCTAACAGTTCAAAATCTTCCAGTTTTTCCAGGTAGTTCTTAAATATAAATCCACATTGCTACACGCCCCTGTCCTACGGGCCAGATGTAAAAGTTCGTTTGACACTACTTCAAATAAACGCACGGCATTTTCCTCACTGTCCTGGTCGATACGTATCCCGCAATCAACATCACATTAAATTGACTGGTCATTATCAGCGGTCTGTGGGAGTTTGCTTTGCAAAAAACTGCAACAGTGACTACTCTTCAAAAGTCCTTCATTGGCTGTAAAGCTGTTTAAAATGTTCAGCAGTCATGAAAGGCATTAAATAAAGGCATGTCTTACAACAAAAAGGAACATCTACAGTCTCAACATTTGGTGTTTGAATGCATGTGAGGCTGGACACAGACACATGCATATGTATAGGTGTGTACACACACAGGCATGCGTGTGCATGAACAAACATACATACAAATGTTTGCACACATATTCACACACAGGTATACATGCACACAAACAGACAGGTGTGTAGGCGCGCACACAGATACAAACAGACACAGAGATACACGTGTGTATGCACACACATGCAGGAGCACTCAGTTATTAGTCCTAACATTCTTGCAGTGAAATTGAAACAGTAATTCCATTTCTCTTCGTAGACGTGTCCTGACCTGCTGAGTATGTGTAGAATGTTTGTTTTCCGTCAATATTATCAGTAATATATTGTGAAGTAACTACAATTGGTCAATTGGGAAGCAAGCAATGAATGCTACCTCTCGGTTTTGAGATACAACACACTGTTATATTGAGAAGAGTGACACAGTGGGCATAAATAGCTTGTACTGACTCCGAAAAAAGATACATCTGTGCAAACAGCACAGCACTGTGCCACAGAATACAAGTTTGCTTCTTTTGTAATGTTGCCCTTTCTACCATGAAAAATTCTGTGAGCTATCATACCTGGGAACCTACATTGAAAGGCATGTAGGGATCTCAGAGTATTGTAGGGCTGGAGGAGATGATAAAAATTAGGAGGGGTTGGGCCCAAGGAAACAAGGACAATAATCCAGTTCAAAATTTCTCCAGGTTCACTAAAACTAGATCGCCCAGCCAAGCCAAGATTATACTATTCCAACAAAAGACTAAGAAATATTACCTAGGCTTTGCAGACTTAATTGGTGAGATTGAAAACTGTCTGACAGAGGACTTTTCTGAACAGAAAACTGATTCATGCCACGTAACACTGTGAAAACAGAAAGGTCAGAGAAAGGGAAAGAACACAATTATAGGTACACAGCAGAAAGAAGATTTAAACAGAACAGCTGAAGTGAGGTCAGAATTTTACTTTCAGCCATTCTAACCCCACCCACCCCCGCTTTGCCTGGGTAGACTTGTTTGTTAAATCCATTCTCATACCGTTAAGATATGGAACCACTGGTTACCATTAGGCTAACGTTTTAGTCTAGATTATTTTCTAATTCAAACTTCACCAACTGCCATCATGTGATTTGAACCCATATTCCCAGGGACATTAACCAGGTTTCTGGATTACTAGTCCAGGGACATTACCACTACACTACTGCCACCCTCACATGTGCAGCCCCAACACTTCATAGAGTCCCTACAATGCAGAAGCAGACCATTCGGCCCAATGAGTCCACACCGACCCTCCAAAGAGCATCCCACCCAGACCCACCCCCTACCCTATTCCTGTAACCCTGTATATCCCATGGCCAACCCACCTAGCCTGCACATCCCTGGACACTATGGGCAATTTAGCACGGCCAATCCACCCTAATCTGCACATCCCTAGACACTATGGGCCATTTAGCATGGTCAATCCACCCTAACCTGCACACCTTCGGACAATGGGAGGAAACCCACACAGAGACAAGGAGAAGGTGCAAACTCCACGCAGACAGTTGCCCGAGGGTGGTATCAAACAAACCCAGTTCCATAGTGCCACGAGGCAGCAGTGCTAACCACTGGCGCACCATGCTGCCCCACTTAAACTAAGTCTGACTTGATGAAGCTTTCTGAAAGTGGAGGTTCCAACCAATGCACATTCCACACACAAAAGATTCTTGATGAAAATTGACAAAGCTCGTACAGATTCCAAGGGGAAGGTATTCACAATTTGAGCTTTAAATAAGATGTCCATTACACATGATGGCAGTCAATCCCTTCAGCAGGGTACTCTATCAGAACACCTCTGTATTGCTGGGTGAATGCACTGAGCATAGTACTCAGAGTCCTTTCAATTTGACCTGCTGTGTGGGATGAATCACAGGCATAGACCCACATTCTGCAACCATTAATACCCACTCTGTAACAGCATTCAAAGTCTGCCAGACACAACACACAATTACTTCCTATTTTCCAAATAAAATGTTGACATCCAACTGCATTATGGGGGTTATTGCAACTGTTTGAACATGTGAGAGATATGACTGCACAGTGTGGAAGATGCTCCATGTTAGGACACTCTAAAGGCTCTGGGAACAGTGAGAATAAAGACTTTTTTTGGGATAGTAGTGGAAAGCAGGATCTTCCTCTCTTAATTTA